TGAGCAAATACTTTTGGCAATATAGTGTATATATATATATATATATATATATATATATATGTATGTGTGTGTGTATATATTCTCTTACATTTTTTTTTTCCTCCAAACAGAATAGACTGGCCATTATAAATAAGCTTTCTAACAAATGCAAGGAGTTTGTAGACCTCAGTGAAAACTGGAAAACTATAATGGCCGGTCTCTACAAGAACAACAATGCCTTGGAGGGAACACGCCATCCAGGTACCACCGCTGTCTTCGTGTTTCTTTTAAAAGTCCACAATTTTTTTTTTTTGTTATGATTCCGTCAAGCTGAAAGGTAATAAAAAAACAAGAGGAATAAACTTAATTAACAATATTTATTGTTACAGAAATAAAGGATGTCCCATTAATTTTATCCGTTAGTTGTAAGCCTGAAAGCATTCAAGCCAAATTTAAACACCACTTCAGGCAGACAAAGCCATGTAAAACGCTACAATTGTTCACTGCAAATCTACAATGCACTCCATTCTCAGCAGAATGATTAGATGCAATCTAAACCCAGGATCACACTCCAAACAGGATCAGGGTGTTTAATGAAGCAGTTTTTTTGGAAAACATAAGTTTTCTAAACATGAAAACAGGGAAACTCTGACTTTTCCATTTCACAATGAGAGTAATATAATAATAGTAATAATTGAACTTTATTGATATCACAATGGAGAAATACCTCTGTTTTTAACCCATCCCCTTGTGGAGCAGTGGGCTGCCATTTTGCAGTGCCCGGCGAGCAGTGTGATGCTAAGGGTGTTGCTCAAGGACCCAGAGCGCAGGCTGTGAGGATTGAACCGGGCACTTGCTCAGCACAGAAGCGCAATGCTCTATCCACTAGGCCAACACTCCGCACACTCTCCCCAGAGCAAGCCTGGTCGATAGCAGGTTTTGTTCAATAAATTCGAAGTGCCCTTTGTCTCTTCTTTTCTTTGAAAAAAACTATGATTTCATCAATTTATATAAATATACACACACATCATTCACTAGGGTCCTTTAGGATTACATATCCGTTGGATGAGGATCTTATTTAACAATGATTGACACTTTTTCACAGAGAATTAAATATTTATAGTGAGAGGATTCTACAAGTCAGTTGACATGGCATGAGATTACTTGTTTTTTTTTTTTTTTATATGAGCGAGATGATGATCATTTTCTTTTTATTTAGTTATATTTACAGTACATGAATAACTACTGAAATTATTTTCAGATTACACAAAAATAGATTCCTTAATTCTGCAGGGCACAATGAAGTATTTTAGGGTTAGGATAAGGATTCACTGGATGATAACAACCTAATGAGCCAAGTGGCACAATCTGAAGCCATTCTTTTGGCCTGATAAGCACTAATAACAGCCATTTATCTGAATTTTGTAGAAGAACCTGTGGTCTTGTTTTTGTATCTACAATTTATAAATGGTGAGATTATTCTGCTTTTTAACTACTAAGAAAAGCCTAGTTGGTGATGTCATGTCAATAAGGTTTTTGATGGGTATCTCAAGAAAATTTTTCATAGTCTTATGATTTTTGCATTTGGCAAATGGATGCAATGGACCTAAAGTGATGTCAGGCAGTTATTTTTATTTAACCATTTCTTCCTATCTATCTTTAAATGCTTAGCATTTCAAATATGTGAATCGGAAATTTGATACATCCCAAATATACATGTCTGCATTGAATAGAAGTTTCCAATATAAAATGATTTATTCATTAGCCTCCATTTTTTGTTTCAGGCTTGCTAGAGAAACTGTCGAACATCAACCCACAGCTAGAAGAAATTCTGAAGTCCTTCGACACATATCTGGTGTCCAAGAGACAGAGTTTCCCAAGGTTTTATTTTCTGTCAAATGACAATGTTCTTGACATCCTGGGACACTCTGGGAACCCTGAATCCATGCAGCCCTATGTGAAGAAGTGTTTCTGCAACACCAAGGGCCTCTGGTTTGATGAGGTAGCAAAGTTATTTCATTAAAGTAATTGCATATGCTGGGATAAGATATGGGAGATTAATCTAGACTCTTCCAATTTTGATGTTGTCTTCCATTGAAAGTGAAATTTGAGGGTTAAGCTGCTCACAAAATACCTACACTATACATAGCCTAGATGTAGTTGTATTTATGGTTAGGTAGATAGATAACCTTTATAATTCTTACCTTTTCATCCATCAATCCATTGAGCAAAATTATAATTTGTTTATTTGTTAAAAATATTATTCAGTCTTTTAATTCATGAGATTAATCGACTCTGCCATGAAAATTGATTTACATTGACACAAACTATTGTCATTTACAGCCTAATCAATCAGAATACTGCAATTGTTTAATCTTCTAAATAAATGGTAAGGGCAGAGGCATATGTCCCTACTTACATGGGGGGTTGGTAAGGACCCCTACTATTAGAAGCACTCTGGTGCATTGCTACTAGCGCCTAATGCTTTTGTTCTTGTAACATGAGAGGGTGCCATACATAGCAACTTAAATTGTATGTCAAATAAGAACTCTTAATGTTCCTATTTTGTGTTTTATAGAAAACTAAAATGCAAAAAGCCATCGGGATTTATTCAGATGATGGGGAGGTACTTTTATTTGACAAACCAGTGGATCTAACCAAATCAGTGGAGGTAAACACTATTAGTTTCAATTAGAATAAATTGTTTTGGTCTTCTTCTGGTGATACTTAAGACTAATTTAGAATAAAAATTATGAATTAATGATTTTTTTAACTTTAGAGTTGGCTGTGTGATATTGAAAACCACATGAAGACTACTGTAAGCCATGCTCTGCGTACCCATGTTGGCCAAAAAAGGGTGAAAGGAGCAAGAGAAGAATTAGATAAAAATTTTATTGGACAGGTAAAATTAAATTTAACTTTTTTCAGCCTGTCATTCTGCATCCATTCTAATTTACTGCACGATTTTAGAGACTCTTATCAAGCAAGAAAATCCTATGCTTTTGTAGGTGCTAATTACAGGAAGTCAGATTGAGTGGACATCTGATGTCAACAATTCTCTCAGCAATGGAGCTAAAAATCCCTCCCTGAAGTCACTAATGGAGAAACAGGTTTTGTCTTTGGCCAAATTTCACATGTCTATATACTTTGATATGAATGCTTTTTTTGGATAATGAAATCTGTCATCTTCCTTAGATCTCAACGCTCAAATGCTATTCAGAGATGATTCATTCGGACCTGTCCAACACCATGCGTCTGAAGGTGGTGGCGCTCATCACAGTGAAGGTTCATGCTCGGGATATCATTGATAAGCTGATCAAGACTGGCTGTAAGGATGCCAATGCATTTGAGTGGCTCTGCCAGTTGCGATACTATTTGGATAGAGACAAGGTGAGATAAGACATGACAGTGGGCAGTTTCTCTAAAGCTTCATTTTTACTTTTTTCTTAATGCTCTTATTTATAAAAAAAAATGTTTAATGCTTTTCCTGCTTTGCTTTATGACTAAGGCACTCATTTTTAAATGGCATACATAATTACTTATCCAATCCAATCCACTTTATTTATATACCGGTAGCATGATTTCAATAAACACAGGGTTTCCAAAGTGCTGCACAAAAAGATAAAATAAATAAAGTAAAATAAAATTAAATAAAAGCACTGCCCGCACAGGATAAAAAATATGCATGTGTATACATAAAATCAACACTCTACATGGTGACAAAAGCCAAAGAAGAGAGGTGGGTTTTAACAAATTTAATACAAATATTTTCCTTTGTGTTCAGGTTTGGATATTTTCAAATTTTAGCTGAGAAACATGACGATAGAAAAAGTAAAAACATATTTAAAAAAAAGTCAGCACAGCATGATTGGGAATTTCTTTACACCCAAACCAAAAAATCAAAACAGAATGACCACCCATAACAAATCAGCAATTAAAGTGTCCAACTGCAATTCCTATCTTTTCCTATATTTAAATGCTGCATCTAAAGTATTCAATTGACTCTAAATAAATAGTGAATGTAGTAATCTTTAATTATGAAGTGATAAACCAAACTAAATATGTAACATTATTTTACTTCAAAGATTCATTTATAAATTTTGGAAGAGACTACGCAAGGGGCCCGAATTACGAGTCTGCATCTGTTGAACATGTAATGCTTGAGAGTTTTCAATTTAATGTATGTCTTTACAGAATTGCATCATCCGACAGACCAATTCACAGTTTAAATATGGCTGTGAGTTCCTGGGGAACTCTGGCCGGCTGGTCAACACTCCACTCACTGACAGGTAACCATTAAGAATTTTACATATACAGCATAATTTGACAAATAATATAAGACTGGTTTAGGCAGAATTACAGTTGCTTTAATGCCTTAAATTGCAAATTAATGTATAACGTTAGAGCCAGGTTCACCAATGTTTTTAATGCGTAGAGCTACTTCATGGGTGCTCAGTCATACGAAGGGCTACCAATACTGACCTATGAAGTGGAGGGGTCAGTGTTCACCTAAACTGTAAAGCTGATTTATGTCTTGGATTGTGAACATTATTGTTTGATCATGTCCAGGTGTTACATGACACTGACCACGGCTCTCCATCTCCACCGGGGGGGTACAATTAAAGGCCCAGCCGGCACAGGGAAGACGGAGACTGTGAAAGACTTGAGCAAATCTCTGGGCATGCATTTTGTTGTTGTGAACTGCTCTGAAGGACTTGGTTACAAATCAATGGGGCGCTTGTTCTCCGGGCTCGCTCAGGTCAGGAAAATTTGGAGCAGGTTTGCAATTTTATATCTAAACTATGTGAATTCAACTCTCTTTGCTGTGAGCAGACAGGAGCGTGGGGATGCTTCGATGAGTTCAACCACATCAACATGGAAGTGCTTTCAGTGGTGGCTCAGCAGATCCATTTCCTCCTCACTGCACTCTCAGCAGTAAAGTCTATGTTCCAATTTGAAGGGCAGGAGATCCGACTGGTTCCATCATGTGGCATTTTCATCACTATGAGTCCTGGTAGGTCTACAAAACTTTGTAAAGGAGTAGTGTGGATTTGACATGTTTGAGAAATGTCCTTCTATAAGGAAATGTAAAACACATTGTCATTAGGGTATGCTGGTTGCACTGAGCTCCCTGACAACCTCAAGTCCATGTTCAGACCAGTATCCATGGTGGTGCCAGACTCTGCTATGATTACTCAAATTCTGCTGTTAACGGAAGGTTTCCACCACTGCACGGTACTGTACCTCTCTGATGTTTAAGAAAATGGGAGGAGTGTGTTTTGGTTACATTTTTGCACTGCTTTACGCAATCTGTGCCGTCATGCCATCCCAATCACAAACTTAATAGCACTAATGTTCTCACAGTGCTACATTTAGCAGGTGGGAGCAGTTTGAACTCTTTACAGTAGCTACATGCTGTATAAACTCTGCCACGTGTTTCTGGCTGCTAGGTAAACCTCAGCTCCAGGCTTTAGCATTTTGGATCATTTTTGTTTTAAAGAAAAGTATCACACTTTTCCTAGCTTTATATTATTTGTGATTTCCATGTCTACTCTGCCTTATGTCTTCTCTATCGCTGCTTAAGAAAAAAATTAGATGGCACCTTCTGTAGTTAATAAAATAGATATAAAGATAAATTCAACTATGAAAAAATTTAAAATTGCATCTGTCAATTATCTGCCTTTGCATAGCAAAGAAAATGCTTTTCAGTTTCTTTATTATTTAATCCTGTGTTTGATTTTTAGCTCTTGGCTAAGAAGGTAGTCACTCTGTACTCCCTGGCAGAGCAGCAGCTGTCCATGCAGGATCATTATAATTTTGGTCTTTGCGCTCTCACCTCATTGATTCACTACGCCGGAAAGAAACGACGCCTATACCCCTGGATGGAGGATGAGAAAGTAAGTCTCTAACTGATTCATTTGCCAAGCTGTTGCTAACCACCTTTAACAGCTTTGAAAAAATATTATAAAATACACATAGATATAAAAGAATCACAGACCTTTATAATAGGTGACTCTTTATATGTCTATCAATTCCTATCTTTTCCTATATTTAAATGCTGCATCTAAAGTATTCAATTGACTCTAAATAAATAGTGAATGTAGTAATCTTTAATTATGAAGTG